TTTAAGTAAACTAAAAGTTCATTTTTAATTAGTTTTAATGAAGCTTTATTCCTGTCGTCCCGCCACTTTGCGTTCATAACAGAGAATACTCTTTCTGTAAATGCTGAAGAGGCCGGAACGGACAGCAAAACTGAAACTACTTTGAACAGATTTGGGAAATCAGGTTGTTCCGTACTTAGAAACATTCTCAAAAATATTGTATTGTGCAATATTATTGATGTAAAAATACAAAATTACGATGTTTACTTAAGGCCTTACATAAAGTATTTTTGCGTACTTTATGTGTCTTGTAAAGTATAACGTACACACAGTCGAAACAGAGTACAATACTTTATAATAAAGTACGGGTGGCAACCCTATTAGGTATACAGGGCACATCTAATAATAATAGGAATGTTTCACCAAGTTAGAGTCTGTTCAAAATTTGTTGATGTAAAATTCTCAGAAACGAGACAGGTCAATTCTCGGAAAACAATTCATTTAACAAATTTTGACAGGCTATCTACCTAACCGGAACTATAATATTTACGTTGAATATTTGGGTTTTAGTGGAAAGAATACCCTAAGCGAAGTATTGTAAGCGATGTAATGAAAGGTTTCGATAGGTTCTTGGAAATTCTCCGTTTACCCTCAAACGCTGTGCGACAGCTGCCCCCTAACGTGTCAGGTATCGAAGAGGGTAGCAGGGCAGCCTTCCCTTTAGGATTTGGCCATGCCACTAAATATTTTAAGCCGGGCGTAGCACTGGTTGGGTAATTAAAAAAAAATAGGAGAAAATAAATGTTACTGTCTTAAATTAATATCACATTTACTGATAAATTAAAAAATTTCAGTGATGCCGCACACCGAGTTCATCCCCTGGCAGGGCAGGGGGTTAATTTAGGATTCGGAGACGTCTCTTGTTTGAATGAAATTTTAGGGGATGCCATATATTGTGGCAGTGTAATAGGTCTGTTTATTTTGATCATAAATATGAAGCAGTTATTAGATTTTTTTTAAATGTAAACTTTTGTGTAGAGGATGTTGATAATTTACGTAAATATGAAACCGAAAGACAGCGGCACAACATCCCCACAATGTTGGCTATAGATGGCATTCAGAAATTGTACAATACCAATTTAACCCCTGTCGTACTTTTGAGGAGTGTAGGATTGCAATTTACCAACGCCCTTTATCCCTTGAAGGTAACAAAAAAATTGTATTTTATAAATGTGTATTGGTATCCGTCAAATAGGGGTATTTGAACCATATGGTGGCAAAACATGTAACGTGAATGAGGAAATTCGAGCTCAAGAGCGGCTTGCCGTGAAACTTTATTAATTTTCAATTCGAAAATGTGGCTTCTGCGATTATTAGGTACTGTTGTTGAACCCATCGCTAACCCATTCAATATATAAATTCGATTTAGCCAATTCATAATGTAAAGTCCTTACTCGAATCTCCAGTTAGAGAAATTTTCAAGTTAGATAAATGAAGAAATTCTAGATGAAAGAGTTTAGAATAAATGTAAAACAGTAGGTTTATTTTTTTTTGAAAGGTTTCTGTCAGCCCAACGACATATTACACCAATATTAATAACTTTATATCGATTTAAAAATCCACAATTGTAGTAGGTACTCTATAAAGACTATAAAGAAATTACCATCATTTGTCGCATGTTTTTAAGCCTCTTACCATTTGACGGATTCCAATAAACAAAAGTTCAATTATTTGTAATATTGCCGCTTGGTTCAAATTTAGTAGGTACATACCTAACAACTTCAGGCACAAAACATTTTCATAACTAAAACAGTATCACAGTAGTGATTAGCAAAAATGTTTCTTATTAATTGTAAAGTATACTTCTAGTTCTACTACCTTTATTTTTGAGGATGTTCACATCTTCTAAATTTGTTGTAAATCCTGCTTGAATTATTCAATATTGTAAGCGTATTATTTAACTTAACTGTATAGTTCAGCTAAATAGTTTTGGCACTGAACTAATTCGAAAAGATGCAAAATTATTTAAAATTAAGCAGAAGCAGGCTTGTAGCAGTTTTGGCAAGTTTATTATTTGGAAAGAGATGCATTGCAAAATTATAAATTTATTTCAGAAAATAAAGGGTATCGTTTTTTTTTGGATCTAGGAAAAAAGCCCCGGAAAAAAAGTCCTTGGAAAAAGGCCCCCAGAAAAAAATGCCCCTTTGCAAAAAAAATTACCAAAAATTTATTCTAAAGTAATCGTATGATTTAAAAAAACCTACACTTCAAGTTATTGTCTTTCTTGATGATGATGACGTTGAACGGACAGCATGATAATTACTTACTTGATTTGTTTTATTTTTGCTAATATGTTTAACGATAATATTATGTTGGGGGTTGACTTTCCAACAAGTATTTATTAATTATCTCGAAGAATATCAATACTTCACAAACGACAGTTTGTTTTCTACTAATATTACAATTTAAAACAACAGATGATAACGTTGTAGCTAATTATCTAGTCGATCTATTCTTATTTCTATTAAATTGTATAACGAATATTCTGTACGATTATTTCATTGTCAGGGGAAATATTTATGAATATTCAATATAAATTATTAGAAAACTAAATAAAAGAAATAAATCATTTCCTTTTCTGCAATAATTACACATTGATTTTTTGAGTATTGATTTTTTCCAAGGAGTAAACTATTTTCCGGGTTTTTTTTTCTAAAGGCTTTTTCCCGGGGCTTTTTTTGAGGGAATTTTTGCTGTCTGTGACTAGCCCTTTCTGCTCGAGGTGTTCTACCAACCTACCTAGCCTATTTCTTATTGACTTCCATAGGGACGTCTGTTCTATTCTTTCCAATTTAGCTTATTATTATTTAATGTCCTTATTTCGTTCTGTAGTAAACAGGATCGTAAAAAATCGTAAATGCACTAACTAATATTATGTATAACTGAGGGATTAATAAACGAGTGTTGTCATTGACATTAAATCGACGGATTAAACATATCGGTAAAAAAGATGCCCAACACAAAACACTAAACACTCATTACCGTTTTAATCCTGATCTTTTGATTAAACTTGTTATGGGTAGGTATGAAGCAATAATAAATAGTTATGGTAATTAACAACAAATTATAATATAAACGAAACACAAAACGGTCCTACCACCGCCGTAATTGGTTCTCAGTAATAATCTTGAACACATTACGCTTGTTTGGAGGCGTTAAAACAAGCATAGATAAGATTATTTTTTTTAAGCGGCCCGTCTCAATTGTCTTCGTTTATGTCAACCACGACATTTTCCTCTAACAAGNTGTGTGAGACCTGGGATATAGAGCCGGCAAGGCGTACTGGGAGAGTGTTCAAACGTGTTTATTTCACAGACATACAAAACCAGTTTTACCTGCTAAATTTCTTGAGAAAGCCAAATCCAGGAATACCTACTCAAAATACATTCTATATGTCGCTGAATTCTATTCTATTAGGTACATTGTAATTTACAAAATTATATTGAATAGGCAATATTATCAAGCCTACAATTAGCTGAACTTAATGATGGTTAAACGACCTCAGGAATTGTAAACAACTGTAAAATTTTAGCCTTATTGTCTAAGTAAATGTTATCAAATAGTACCACTTATATTTCCATTTACGTCCACGTTATTTCCAATTCTATGAAATTAAAATTCTTGGAAAATATGCTAATTTATGCTGTGATGCTTGTGTTTAAAATAACATTGTTCTGTTTGCAGTTTTAAATTGCTATTTTTTTAAAACTGCAAACTATTGGGTGCATGCAATAGTTAATGTGTATCCTAATAAAATATACCTGTTTGCAAAATACACATAAATAGAAACCTGAAGGTTGATGACTACTAAAAGTAATTCTAGCTGATGCAGTCAAATTACCTAAGTACCTACGTAACATTTAAGAAGTGAATAGTTTGCATTTTCTTACTGCAAATAAATACTGAATAAATTGTTGGGCGATTTGATATTATAAAAATTTTAATGGTTCTGTAATCAAATTATCATTAATAATTGGACACCAATTTCGCCAATAAAACTAACGAAAGTTATTTGAATCTTTTCCAACTAAATTAAATTCATTTTCAAGTGCGAATAATAAAATGCCTCTTATAATAACAACAGCTGTGCTATTATTATTGGTAGTAGGTACTCTATAAAGACTATAAAGAAATTACCATCATTTGTCGCATGTTTTTAAGCCTCTTACCATTTGACGGATTCCAATAAACAAAAGTTCAATTATTTGTAATATTGCCGCTTGGTTCAAATTTAGTAGGTACATACCTAACAACTTCAGGCACAAAACATTTTCATAACTAAAACAGTATCACAGTAGTGATTAGCAAAAATGTTTCTTATTAATTGTAAAGTATACTTCTAGTTCTACTACCTTTATTTTTGAGGATGTTCACATCTTCTAAATTTGTTGTAAATCCTGCTTGAATTATTCAATATTGTAAGCGTATTATTTAACTTAACTGTATNGTTCATATATAGTCACACCCCTTAGGCAATTTTCTATATTTAAATTATTGAACTAGGCTATAACAGTATTTGTGGGATTTAATTTTTTTTTTCTAATTCATTTTTATTTCCTGGTAAATCGATTGGAAAACACAATTTTTAATGAAACAATTGTTACGCCAATTGTCATTGAAAATTTTTATCAAAAACACAATTTTTGTAGTAGGTTAACACCTCTAGGTAATTTCTTTGAGAAAATTAATTTTTTCGATTTCAATTGTAACATCCATATTTATTCATGGAAAGTATTCATGGCGTGTACGACGCATGATTCAACGATTTGACGCAGCTGAGAGCTGACTACGACGTCACGCGACGCTGGAAACGTCGAATTCGCTCAGGGTATCGTGGATTCCTACGCCAAATTTTTCTAGAAATCGTTACCGTGATAACCAAAAACAAAAGAAATTATCAACAAATCGGTGATTTTACGTATATGTCTAATACGCACTTTTAGTTTATTGCAAACGAATTCAAAAAAGTGGAAAATAAGTTAAAAAAAAAATAAGACAGCCGGGTGTTATATCTTCGCTTGGTGCGCAGGAATACGACTTTGGGGAAAGCTTTGAGTATAAAAGAGAATTTCGGGGGAAGTTGCTTCAACTGTATTTGAGCTGATGCTAAGTGAAGGTGTTGAATTTGTGAAAGACATCCAGAGAAGAGATCCAGTCCACCCAGCATCCCTAGAATCGAGATCAGCCCTCAGGAAGAACTTTGTAAATACCAGGTGTGTTTTTTAAACAACCCAAAAAGCTGTTGCTGTAACTTTTTTACCAAATTAATACCAAAAACCGTAAGTTTACCAAGTAGTATTTTGATATGGGCGTTGTCCTTCGAGACAAAGAGCCGTCCTTGAGAACTTCCGAAATTATCGATTGGATATCGAGAGTAAAGTGCAAGAAGCTTTCAGTTAAACGTAATAAACGAAAAAATTATTTAATGGAAGCCGTTTTAAGCAGGGCCCTTTGTAGGGCCGAATCCGAGCTAAAAATTAAACAGCAGCAAAGATTAAACAAATGGCGAAACATCAAGGACACGTTGGGCTATTTTAACGCTGATTGTCACAATTCTTCTGATATTAACTCGGATAATTCCATTAATAAGACTAAATATAGCTGGGATCCAACAACTTGTGAAGAATTAAATAGTTTAAATCAATTTATGTCTCAATTAAGTAATATCAAAGTTCCTGTTGATAGATAAATAAGTCAATGTTTCGAAATATTGTAAAATTTACAGAAACGAAACTGTTAACGCCATCGGCAAAGTTGTGACGCCATTATGCGTCGGTCAAAGTAGGCAGCCATCTTGTTTGACGTTAGTTGATCATGTACGTAATTGATTACGGAATTTTTCACAATGTTGAAAGGAAATTGCGCAATATTTATAATATGTATAGATTTTCAAATATTTCGATTGAAATTCGGTTGTTCATCCATCCTGATTACTTAATTGTAATTATTAAAAGAAAGATGTTGCGAATGGATCGAAAAGAGATGGTCACAACTTTAAAGAAAGGGCATGATATCTGTGATACTATGTAGTTTTTTCTATTACAGTCTCTTGAGACACGTACATGTGTGTGAGACCTGGGATATAGAGCCGGCAAGGCGTTGTTCTGGGAGGAATAATTCAGCAGTCGGTTTGTAATTTTATTTTTCTAGAAAAATTCATGTACAAATTAGATTTTAAGTAACAAATTTGTGTATATATATATAAAGACGATTTTTTTAAATAAAAACAGTTGAGTTTTGATTATTCTTTGTATTTGTCATTGTACTACGTTATTAATTTATTTGAATTTACATGTTTGGGCAGACAGCATAGACAAGCAGAGTCTTATATACGAGGGGAGTACCTAAAATACTCAGTTATGAAAATCGAGAAGTACGAAAATTATTGCGTAAAGGTCGTTTCTTCCTCCAAAATACAAGGTATCTATTGGGCAATAAGTTCGAGAAGTCTTGCGATTACTGGTGCTGCAATTTTTGTTGAGTCGTATGTGAAAGGCGATCGAGGATGATCAAACTGTTCTATCTGAAAAGTTATTTTGGTGTCGAAGACAGTCGTTGCGGTTTTATACATTTTAAGTGAGGGAAATAGGGAGAATGAGAGAGAGAGAAACGAAACATCAACCATTACCCAGTAAGACCATAAATGGTAATGTTTATGAGAAGTTACTAATCTATTTCTAGCCGTTGCTTGCACATGATATTTTCTTTTTCCGAGTGATTTGTTGTTCGTAGGGGATTACTTGAAATTATGACTGCCTTTTTTGTTTGTAATTTTTCCTAACTTTTTAGCGAAAGTGAAGAAAATGGTGCCATTGCCTTATCTTCAGTCTCTTATCTTCAGTATCTATTTGAATGAATGTTAGTACCATTTTTTGATCTTTAGATTTGCCGAAAGAATTCAAAAGTTCGGTAGTAACGATCATTCAAAAGAGCAAGTTTCAGGAAAATGGTGCCATTTTTCGTAACTTCAAAAGGACGATGGAAGTTACGGTTAATTGGTTAGCAATCCTATATTATGGAAGAATGCACTATTTTGTCGCTATTTTTTAATCGTTTTTTCCTAGCCTTAATTACAATAGGTACCGATTCATATTTCAAGCGTTCGCCCTCTGCAATTTTCTGCATGAATCATGGCCAGTTCATGCTAGAAATGACCATCATTTGGCGAAAGAAAACAATGTCTCATTGTGCAAGCAAATGGCTCTGTAAGTCTGTAGAAGTTAAAAGATGAAAAAAGAAAATCCGCTCTATTGATGTATCCGATACTCGTGGATACGTCAGTTGAGTGTGTTGTTGTTTGATAACGTATAAAATTGTTGTTTATACCAAATCGTTGTCTTAGGTCAGCAGCAAATCAACGTAGAGTACATAAGTTATTTCGACTTGCTGCTGATGCCCCTAACGCATCTCCCTTCAACACATAATCGAAGCAGATCGATCGTTCACCATTAAAAAGTTAGTAGTGAAGAGCAATCATGAGCGGTTGCTCCTTCAGCGCATTTCCACCCAATCCCACTTCTTAATTGCACTTATTATTTATTTTGGTCACACGTGAGAGAAACGAATGAAAAATGCGAAAAGTACTTCTGCTACATACAAATAAGGTAAGTTGTCTTGTTGGTAAAAACCCTTGATGATGATCACAAAATTCGCCAATATGCGTTACATTGTGTTGCAATTATATTTTTAGCTGGATAAAATAATAAACGTTTGGGAAATAATTCTGTCGAATAAGTAGTTAGTACTTACTAGAAAAATTACTTGAAGAAGGTGATGTTTAGGGAGAAAATACTTGGTGTTACAAAGCGCCGAGTTGATGTTATTGGTATTTTTTGTTTCTTGAAAGTTATCGTTACAATTTAAGTCGGAGGAGAGAGGTGGTTGAAAGTGAGGCGGCGGAGGCGTACAGAAAAATCGATTGAGTTCTGTTTGCTGTCGGAATCGAGGGCGGAAATGAGTTTGGAGTCTGAGAAATAATTCCGAAAACAGGTAAAAAATCTGTGTACTTACTATTACCTACTGAACTAACGGTACAGTATAGTGAATGAAAAATACTTGTAGTGTGGACATATTTATTGTAGATAATTGCACAATAGTTGTTACAAAAGATACGTGGTAAAATTCATTGTTCACAGAAAATCAGAACAAAAGCAGCAACTTTTTAATGAAACTTTATCATGTGTTTTTTACTTTGAGACGCAATGTGCGAGTGTGTAAGAAAATGGCAATAAATAACCGTCATAATAGTTGGAAAAACGACTGACATATGTCGTTGAGACAACAGTGTCGGAACGGAAATGTGAACCGTTCCAACACTAATTTTCCTTCGTCAACATTGCGTCACGTTGCTTTACCGTCTTTGATGACTGCTATTTATTGCCTTTATGTTTCTATCTACAATAAATTTCCATTCTACAGCCCACCAGACCGCTAATAGTATTTTTTATTTCGCTTAACTGTCTGATTGTGAGTAATAATGAATTTAGTCTTCTATCGCTGATGTTTGCGTTTATTAGTTTGGAGACAAATGCGTACCCCGAAAAAGTTTTGAGTTTACGTCCTTGATGAAGTATAAGAGGTGGATATGCAATATGAAAAATCAAAAAGAATCCGTTTTTCCCTCCTACCGTTTCATCTGCCCACTTCATGTTTTTTTTTGGAGTTTCTAAAGCGTCTTCAACTCCTGGAAATCGGCCTCTACTTAAAGGTACAGATTAACAGTTTATCTTACTTGAAAAGGGTTTTTAATATATTACGAGAACTAGCGTTGTCGTTACAATCACCTGAGCAATATGAGCAGCGCAAGTCATTTTATGGATTATATTCGATTAAAATACGAGATAGTTTCACCAAAATTTGTTTTTGGTTAATTAATATTAAAATTTTTGTTCTATTATTCAAGCAGTTGATATAGATGCGGCTAAAATTGGGCAATTGAATTTTTTGAGTTTGAATATTATTCTAGTATTTTCCGAAGTAAAACAAACGCCCTTTGTTTATATAGATACTTACAGATTAAAAGTTCTTGCATATCTATTACAGTGAATGACCTGACTGTACATGGATTTAAATTGATTTTCATTTTCTGTCTGATATTATTGAGTTTCAAGAAACGACTGAAGTATTTCATACAAAAAACCATTTCATTGACAATTCATCGACGTTTTGGTCGTTGATTAGGAGCTTCCTCAAGTTATTTGTAATCATATTTTAAAGCATGGCGATGACTTCTTGACTGTCGTAATTGTAATTGTAAAAAAACAGTATTACGATTACAGTATTACCTTTATAAAACATTTACTAAAAATTAATTTATGTGCTTGTGTAAATATTAAAAAGGTAATTGGTATTATGATTTACTGCAGTACTCATTGTACTGTACTTTTTTTCAATTAAGGTTCATGGTAGATCTAGAAAATTGCTCATGAATTGCCATATTTTAAAATCATTAACAATTATCTTGAGGAAGTTCCCGGTCAGCGGGCGAAATTGTTTTTCATCTGACTTGATTCGGAAATATTTCTTTCAACCGCACAATACTTACTTTTAATTTGATAAACAATAATCAAATTTATACAAATCTATACAAAGAAACTACAGGGTGCTATAATTTATACAAATCGATCTTTTTTTATTGGATTGAAAAGATAGAAATTGCTTGATCTGAGTCACTAAGTATCCTAATCATAGTGCATATTTAATACATACCTAAACAGTAACACAAAATAAAGATTTTGTACGTAAAACAAACAGAATCCCGTTTTGATAAGAATCTCTAACTGCATTCAAATCGAATAATGAGGTTTGATGAATCTTGTTTTACTTTTAGGACTAGCAAATGTATCCGTTATATTATCGAATGCCAAATGAATTGCTACTAGAGAATATAATATTTACGAAATATGCAATGTGTACTAATGGATCTTCAAGGAAACATTATGCAACTATTAGGCATTTCCGTATAATTTTGAGTTCTATTAAAAAAAGATGAATTTAGTGATTCTTTTAAACAATACTCATGTGGAGTGACAAGGTAGAATGGTAGATTATATAACAAAACTTACAATTAGTTTGATCTGAAAAGGTGGCGTTTGCCGATTCTATTCATCTAAGAGATTTAACATAAGTAGATTTAATAATGCGAGTATTACATTTTCAAAATCGAGATGAAGAATAAAAAGGTAAGTATTCTAATTTCTTGTTGTTACTAGGCCAGCATAATCGGAACTATAATTTTTAAGGTATAATTAACGAGAAGGTATGATTAGAAAAGAATTTTTGATGGAGCAGTCGCTTTTGTATGAGAAAACACAAATTTTAGAAGTTGAGCTAAACACTACATTTCGGAAGAAGTTCCGCATTGGTGTAAAGTACGACGTTGGAAAATTCCCATCATAGATCCACATGCGATTTAAAAATTTTGCTTATTATGCAATGGACTCACTACAATTTTTTCAGAAATGCGGTTACAGGTTGTTACATGTTAGAATGACCCTTTTGGAGTCCCGACAGATTCATTAAAAAGCTGTCCTCAAGGTCTTTGAAATGGGAATTAAATGGACATGTGCTTGAAAGAATATTGCGGCAATCATTAGTTTTCGATTTTTTTAAGAAAATTTTGAAATTTCATTTATAACTTCAACTGTTACGTAAAAAATTCCGCAGTGCATTTTTTAGTTAACCGGCTTGTATCTTCGTGGTTAAGTATCGGACATTTGTATTGCAAAATAATAGCAAGTAGCAATTAGTAAGGAAGTCTATTGTGGTAAAAATTGGAATTTGCAACTTAAGTGGAATGAACACTGAGCATATCAATGGCAAACATTTGTACTATAAATTTTGTCAATAGACATCGATTTTTCGCTCTTCACGACCACCTGGAATATTCAGAAGATGGGGTCAGAATTTTATTGGTGTATTTTGCTAATGCATGAGGATGATAAGCAGTAATAGATATGTACGTGAAGGTATTTGCAGTAAAGGGCTATTCCATAAACATTTTCAGTTTCATAATTCTGTAATGCAGGACTGGTTAACTTGAAACCATGGGGGAAATGAATATTTGCTTTCCTACTGATGAAACGTTGCATATGAATTTGAATTTACAATTGCTAAAAATGACAATAAATACTGTATCATGCCAAAATCAATGAAGATTACCTAACTTCACTAAATACAACGAACATCAATATAGATTACATATTTACACGGAGAAGAAAGTGGGAACAAAAGAATTTAGATACATTAACACGTACCTATGGATGGATGGATTGAAATTGAAGTCTTGTGTGATATATATGGAATACCTTTGTGTAACGAATGTCCAGAAGGGATGAACGTAAAAATAATGAGTGCTAAATATAATTTTGAATTAAAAGTATAAATTTGGGTTAACAATAAGTACTTACTTACAGAGAATATTTGTTGCATAAAATCGATCTAGACGAAGAGTAAGGAGTGAGACAATGATTATTCTAAAAGATACAGAAAATGAACCTACATGAAAAAAAAATATTTATGCAAAAAAGGCAGAAGGCATGTAGACGGGTGAGGACTAACATTTAGAATAAAATCTTGAACCCGAAAAGTGGTTATAGATGGAGGTAATACGAATTAAATGTAAATAGTCATCGTGGTTAATAGAGATCGACTTGATTAAAGCGACGAAATAAGGGAAGGTAACTGACTGGCTGAAAACTATGGATATGAGTGTGAAGATGACGGGACGTGGATGAAGACGGCGGACATGGATGACGACGACGGACATGGATGAAGACGGCGGACATGGATGAAGACGAAGGACATGGATGAAGACGAAGGACATGGATGAAGACGAAGGACATGGATGAAGACAACGGACATGGATGAAGACGAAGGACATGGATGAAGACAACGGACATGGATGAAGACGAAGGACGTGGATGAAGACGATGGACGTGGATGAAGACGATGGACGTGGATGAAGACGATGGACGTGGATGAAGACGATGGACGTGGATGAAAACGATAGACGTGGATGAAGACGATGGACGTGGATGAAAACGATAGACGTGGATGAAAACGATGGACGTGGATGAAAACGATGGACATGGACGTGGATGAAGAAGATGAACATGAGTGAAGACGATGAACATGGATGAAGACGATGAACATGGATGAAGACGATGGACATGGATGAAGACGATGAACATGGATGAAGACGATGGACATGGATGAAGACGATGGACATATATGAAGACGATGGACATATATGAAGACGATGGACATATATGAAGACGATGGACATATATGAAGACGATGGACATATATGAAGACGATGGACATGGATGACGACAGCGGATCTGGATTTAAGTGATGGACATGGCTAACGACGACAGGCATAGATGAAGACGATGGACATACAGGAATGGAAGATGACGATGGGCATGGAAGATGACGACGGGCATAGAAGATGACGACGGACATGGAAGATGACGACGGACATGGAAGATGACGACGGACATGGAAGATGGCGACGGGCATGGAAGATGGCGACCGGCATGGTAGATGACGACGGGTATGGAAGATGGCGACGGGCATGAAAGATGACGACGAACATAGAAGATGACGACGGGAATGGAAGATGACGGGCATGGATAATGACGACGGGCATGGAAGATGACGACGGGCATGGAAGATGACGACGGGAATGGATAATGACGACGGGCATGGAAGATGACGACGGGAATGGATAATGACGACGGGAATGGAAGATGACGGGCATGGATAATGACGACGGGCATGGAAGATGACGACGGGCATGGAAGATGACGACGGGAATGGATAATGACGACGGGCATGGAAGATGACGACGGGAATGGATAATGACGACGGGAATGGATAATGACGACGGGAATGGAAGATGAAGACGGGCATGGATAATGACGACGGGAATGGAAGATGAAGACGGACATGGATGATGAAGACGGGCATGGATGATGAAGACGGGCATGGATGATGAAGACGGGCATGGATGATGAAGACGGGCATGGATGATGACGACGGACATGGAGGATGACGACGGACATGGAGGATGACGACGGACATGGAGGATGACGGCGGACACGGACGATGACGACGGACACGGTGGATGACGACGGGCACGGATGATGACGACGGGCACGGAAGATGACGACGGGCACGGATGATGACTGAAGTCGCCGGGAATGGATGAAGTCGCCGGGAATGGATGAAGTCGCCGGGAATGGATGAAGTCGACGGGAATGGATGATGAACATGGAAATGGATGGTGAAAGCAGATATGAGTGAAGATGACCGGTATGGGCAAAGATCAACGAAAATGGATCAAGACAAAAGTGGGTGATGACAGCAGTCACGGGCGATAACGATGGGTATGCGAGAAGAGCGCGGATTTGGATCATACGATGGATGTGGAAGAACATGACGAACATAAGAGAAGATGGTCAATACGACTAGTACTAGCGAACGATGGACACGAGTGAAGACATCATACACGTATGATGGCGACATACAGGAATAAAGATGGTCAATGTGGGAGAAGACCGTGGATATATGGAAGAAGATGGCGGATGTATGGGAGAAGGCACCGGATATGAGTAAAGACGATGGGTATAAGTCGAATGTGAGAGAAGACTTTGAGAACACAGCAGACGTTGGAGGACATGGTGGGCGTATGAGAAGACGACGGTCATGTATGATGACCATGGAAGCTGAAAGAAGGCGACGAACACGGACAACAGTCACAGATGAAGACGGAGTAGGGCAAAGACGACGGATAATGGGAGAAGACTGCAGATTTCGAAGAAGATATGGGAGAAGGCAAGTATGTGTGAACACGTCGAATGTGGGCAAAACTGCGGACTTAGGGAACATGGTGGACGTATGAGATGAAGTCAAAGAAGACGACGAACACGGGTGAAGGTGAAGGGCACGGGCAAAGCCGATGAGCATAGTTGAGACACTCACTCAGGAAGAGAACGGACACATGTGCAGACGGAGGACATATATGGAGGCGGCAGATATTGGTGAAGGCGATGGGTAAGCAAGAAGAGGAAGGTGTTTAAAACCCGCTACTGTTAATACGTAAACACATCAGAATGTTGTGATGGAAGATGATGTAAATGGATGAAGACGATTTTCGTTGATCGCGACGCTTCTCAATGAGGACAACCTCTTGGATGAGACGACGTTCTTGGGCGAGACGACGTTCTTGGGTAAGACGACGTTCTTGGGTAAGACGACGTTCTTGGGCGAGGCGACGTTCTTGGGCGAGGCGACGTTCTTGGGCGAGACGGCGTTCTTGTAGGATGCCACGTTCCCGGTTGAAGACGACGCTCCAACTTGAAAACAACGGTTCCGGTAGAAGACGCGTTCCCGGTAGAAGACCACCTTGGTTGACGATGTTCTTGGATGAGACGACGATCTTGGGTAAGACGACGAAGGAGATGACGTTCCCGGTTGAAGACGACGGTCTCGGTTGAAGACGACGGTCCCAGTGGAAGACGACGGTCCCAGTGGAATACGACGGCCCCAGTGGAAGACGAAGGTCCCAGTGGCAGAAGATGACGTTCCCGGCAGAAGAAGATGACGTTCCCGGCAGAAGAAGACGACGTTCCCGGCAGAAGAAGACGACGTTCCCGGCAGAAGAAGACGTTCTTGGGTGATATGACATTCCCTGTTGAAGACAAAGGTCCCAGTAGGAGACACGTTCCCAGCAGAAGAAGACGACGTTCCCGGCAGAAGACGACGTTCCCGGTTGAAGACGACGTTCTTGGATGATACGACGTTCCCGGTTGAAGACAAAGGTCCCAGTAGGAGACACGTTCCCAGCAGAAGACGACGGTCCCGGTTGAAAACGAATTTCCCAGTTGAAGACGACGTTCTTGGAGAAAATGACGTTTTTGGATGAGACGGCGTTCTTGTTGGAAGCCACGTTCCCGATTGAAGACGACGCGCCAGGTTGAAAACGACGGTCCCGGTTGAAGACGACGTTCCCAGTGGAAGATTACGTTCCCGGTGGAACACCACGTTCCTGGTGGAAGAAGATGCTCCACCAATTATTTAGAAAATTTGAACATTCGGTATTATTTTTGGTAAGATCTAACTAAATAGCCTTTTCTTTTTGTATTTATGAGAGTCATGTTTTTAGGAAGTGAGTTCTAAATTATTAGAAAGTCGAAACGAAGGTAACGGGAACTTTATATGTTATAAGGGATGCGTAAATGACTTAATGATAAAGGTAAAATTTATACACCGCGTGTGGTGTAATGTGTTTACATAAAAAAGTCGTTTTTAGGAACAAGTTAGAAAAAAATGAAAAGCTGCCTTATTGCCGTAAGGAAAATGTTGATCGGAAATGTGCTGTTTAGTTCTTTATTACGTTGTCAAGGTTGTGTTAAATTGTTTGTTATCTCTGTGTGGAAAGTCTATTGAAATTTATTCCTAAATTTTTGAGTGCAGTTAGAAGTTTGAATAACGAGTACGAAGTTATCGATGAAAATAACCAGAATTTGTTTAGTTCTTATTCACTACAACTCCAACTGTAAAACACTTTTATTTTTCGGATGGTCTTATTTCTGTAATTAATTAATTTCGCATGCAGTGTGATTTTTTTGATTAACTGTGCTTGAATTATCTTAAGGTCACATGTAGTTATCTAGAAATTTGTTTAGGGTAGCTTTTTTTACCTTTTTTCTTTCAGGCCTCTTTTTCAGTTAGTTGAATGTGATAATGGTAGTTAGTGTTTGTTTTCGTGAAGTGAAAATTTAAATTACCAGTGATCATTTGTAAAGTTGAACCAACGCTTTGCTATGGTATGTCATTTTTTTTTTCCAATTTATTATTGTTTCGCCACTTCGAGTGGCCATGGTAGGTTTTCTTCAGTTTCTGTTTAGATGACGAGGATACGAAACTCCTTCCACATCATGGTTTGTAAGTCACAACGCTATTCTTCTTCCCTATATTAACCAAATGATACGAAGAATCGATAGTGAACAACGTCCATTGAAATTTGTACGAAGATGTTCGTGTTATTTTCGCCAAATCAGGTCTCAAGTCTTTTTTTTTTTATATCTGAATGTTACAATGAGCATCTTTACGTAAACACTAGCATTTATGTGGTGTATTTTGGCCCCATGTGGCCTATTTGTTAATTATGACATAGATCTATGTACAGAGTGCAAAACACCTATCTGCTTCATTCTTGAGCATGGATAACAGATCTACCCTGCTTCAGGAGGAAGCTTAATTCAGTCAATCATTCCATCAAACTTTGACCAACACTGATAAAAACAGGTAAAAGTCGTACATACGCAATTCAAATATGTTGACAGATTGTCACGAGAAACTAAACTTCTTGTTCCTGCATCATCTGCACAAGATACTCCCTCAACTTGCTAAGTTTTCTACTACAAGTAATCAAAATTGTTAAGAAACAGCTGTAAGAAGTCTGAATATGAATTTGGTTGGATGTTTGCATGACAAAATTTACTGTGTTTGCTTACACAAATAATGTAATGAACTCGAGACTGACTACTTTATGGCTTTATGGTATTAAATTAGATTGTATGCAGTTTTTGTGTTGGACGATAACTGTTTAGATTTTCACATCGATATTAATGTTGGCGTTGACCTCCCACAGCTTTATACCTACCTAACTGATACGTGTAGGCACATGTACGCTTAGCTGAAGATTGGCTTGGATTTGATAAAGCATATAAAACGGTATGAAATTTTGGGTGCATTTTTTTAACTATTTGCATTTGACTATCTGTGGCCATAAACCACGTGGCCACTTGAATTGTCTCTTTTTGCAATCTGTTGTGCAGACACTTGATTAGAACAACCGTTGATTGGGTACTATGATGGCAGACCTAGGACTAGCTAGCTGTTATTAACCAGCCTGCCCATATGGCTTCGTAAATTTTGAATGCTTATTATGCGCCAGAGAACCTAAAAGCAGACCATCTTCCCATTTTAAGTGGATCAAATCAAATTTTCTTCAATGGAAGTCATCCAAACATACGCGGGCATGTAAAAGGATTCAAAACTGATGGTTTTAAAATCTACCATATCAATGATATCATTAGCAAGTCAACTGTATTTCTGAAAGCGTTGTACTTGTAGGGTTTTTCCGATGCAGCTACCACTGCGCTACATTTCCAATAGAGTCACGTTTGCGGCATCTCAGTTCTCATCTTGAAGAAGTTCCGCGCGGAGTTTAGGTATGGGAAATAATATAAACATTCTCTATCCGTTTATTTTGCAGCGAAATGTCAAGAGCAACGGTCAATTGCTGTTTTCGCGAAATAGTTCTCCCTTTCCACCCCCGCAATACATGAATCGAAATATTTAATCTTTATAGATAGAAGGCTATGCGGAGCTGTATGTAAAAAATTGATTTGTTTACCAGTTTATTTTACAATCATCGTTTGCCACCTTATGTGGCATTTTGTACTTTAACAAATTCGTCAACTTTAAGATACATTCTTTCATCCCGAAACAAGGGTAATTTATTGATTTGCGCTGCAAGAATTCTCCAGCATTCATCACAAGCTGGATACCTCACGGGCTGTGAAAGGGTAAATCAGGGTTAATTCAGTTGCAGTAACCATTACAACAACCACCAGATTGCGGAATTTGTGTTCCACCTTGAAGAAGTTCCGCGCGGAATTTAGGTATGGGAAATAGTATAAACATTCTCTAGCCGTTTATTTTGTAGCGAAATGTCAAGAGCAAAAGTCAATTGCTGTTTTCGCGAAATACTTTCCACTTTCCATCCCCGCAATACATGAACCGAAATGTTTAATCTTTATAGATAGAAGGCTATGCGGAGCTGTATGTAAAAAATTGATTTGTTTACCAGTTTATTTTACAATCATCGTTTGCCACCTTATGTGGCATTTTGTACTTTAACAAATTCGTCAACTTTAAGATACATTTTTTCATCCCGAAACAAGGTAGTTTATTGATTAGCCCTTCAAGAATTATCCAGCATTCACCATAAGCTGGATATTTCACAGGCTGTGAAAGGGTAAATCAGGGTTAATTCAGTTGCAGTAACCATTACAACAACCACCAGATTGCGGAATTTCTGTTCCACCTTGAAGAAGTTCCGCGCGGAGTTTAGGTATGGGAAATAATATAAACATTCTCTAGCCGTTTATTTTGTAGCGAAATGTCAAGAGCAACAGTCAATTGCTATTTTCGCGAAATACTTTCCACTTTCCACCCCTGCAATACATGAATCGAAATATTTAATCTCTATAGATAGAAGGCTATGCGGAGCTGTATGTAAAAAATTGATTTTTTTACCAGATTATTTTACAATCATTGCCACCTTATGTGGCATTTTGTGCTTTAACAAATTCGTCAACTTTAAGATACATTTTTTCATCCCGAAACAAGGTAGTTTATTGATTAGCCCTTCAAGAATTATCCAGCATTCACCATAAGCTGGATATTTCACAGGCTGTGAAAGGGTAAATCAGGGTTAATTCAGTTGCAGTAACCATTACAACAACCACCAGATTGCGGAATTTCTGTTCCACCTTGAAGAAGTTCCGCGCGGAGTTTAGGTATGGGAAATAATATAAACATTCTCTAGCCGTTTATTTTGTAGCGAAATGTCAAGAGCAACAGTCAATTGCTATTTTCGCGAAATACTTTCCACTTTCCACCCCTGCAATACATGAATCGAAATATTTAATCTCTATAGATAGAAGGCTATGCGGAGCTGTATGTAAAAAATTGATTTTTTTACCAGATTATTTTACAATCATTGCCACCTTATGTGGCATTTTGTGCTTTAACAAATTCGTTAAGTTTAGGATACATTTTTTCATCCCGAAACAAGGGTAATTTATTGATTTGCGCTTCAAGAATTATCCAGCATTCACCACAAGCTGGATATCTCACGGGCTGTGAAAGAGTAAATCAGGGTTATTCAGTTGCAGCAACCATTACAATACCATTTCAACAACAACCAGATTGCGGAATTTCTGTTCCACCTTGAAGAAGTTCCGCGCGGAGTTTAGGTATGAGAAATAGTATAAACATTCTCTAGCCGTTTATTTTGTAGCGAAATGTCGAGAGCAACATCATATACTGTTTTCGCGAAATAATTTCCAGCCCGCAATTCGTGGATCGAAACATTTAATCTTTATAGATATCTAATTTAGAGGAACTGTACGTAAAAAACTAACATATTTATTAACTTGTTCATTTTACAATTCTTTTTTTGCCACCGTATGTGGCATTTATTGCCGTAACGAGTTTATCAGCTTCAGGATAGGAAACTTTTGATCCCGAATCAGAACAAGTTTCCAGCATTCACTCCAAAACAACGCGGGGTATGAAAGGGTAAATTTCGTGTGTGATTATGAATGAATTTTATACACCTGTAGCCACCTTATGTGACTACTTTATTGTTTTGTATTCTGTTGTTTAGAGAACGATTACCCCAGAGCACGTCGTCAATGTCGCAAGATATATTACCTACTTCTATAAATTACGAGAACTGTATGTATTGTGGTTTCCAAATGGTTTCATATTAATTAGATAAGTGTAGCCACCGTATGTGGCTTCATCGTTTTGTTTTTTTTTGCGCAGAGGCAGACTTATGAAAACGAGTGAGTGCGTTCTACACTGACAAGTAAGGTCAACTTCATCAATATATGTTTTTAAATGACTGAAAAATATTAGGTTTTCTTTTCTTAATTTTGATCACCACTGAGGTGATCCCGTTACCACAATTTTGTTGAATGTGCAGGATGGAGATGACTATCTTTGTCCGTCAATGTGAACGAAAACTTTCCACGTCTTGGAAGTCCGGGAGACCACAACATTTTTTCCTGTAGTATTGTATTGAAAATCCGGTAAAAGTAATTTTTTATACAAATAGATAAGCATAGCCACCTTATGTGGCTTAATTGTTTCTTTTTTGAGCGTAGAGGTCGTTTTCGTCGGTAATTATTTCGAGGAAACGAAGTGAATAGAACACTTCACATCATTATTTGTTTTGGCCTACAAAAGGTAGGTCGGCATATTCGTTTTTTTTGTTTAATTATATCTCCAGGTTTTTAAATCCCTGAGCTCGCCACAGCTCGTACTCTTCAAAGGGAAAGAATAAGTATTATCATAACGCTGTGCCGTCTGTATTATTCGTAAGTAGGTTCATCAATCCATTACCAGAACGCTGCTGTTCAATGTGCAGATTGGAAATGAAAAATGTCCCCTTTCGATTGAAAGAAAATTCAGCGTTCGATTTCGTGGAAGTCCTTGTGACTACAATTTTTATTTCCACCAGAACGTGACCAGGATTTCGTAACAATATTTTCTATTAGTTCCTTTAGTTTTCGCTCGGCTCATCCGTGATTATTTGTTTAGGTAGTTTACGAATATAAAAATATTAGCGAAATTGGTCCCATTTGACATTAATACATGTTACAAAAATTAAGAAAAATGAAGAATCAGCAGTCCAAAGGATAATGCGTCAAGAGTCTGATCTTCTATTTCAACGAAATCGATTTTGAAGATACTTGTGAAGATGACCACTGCGACTATGGACAACTGCAATGATTAATATCGTAATTGTGCGTCGGTCAGTTTCTAATTCACAGTGTTCTAGGATGGTCATTTAATTTTTGAACCGAAATTGAAACAAGTACAACAAAGAAATTTGGAGATCCCGAAACACGGCTTATGAAGTGTTTATTTCATAGTCAATAAAATTACAATACATGCATCAATGGCCAGATGAATTAAAGAACGTCCTGATTCAATAAAAAAAAAACAAAGAAATCTAATATTTGGTAGTGCTATTCTGAAATTTGACATTCTAGGCTTTTAAATAGTAAAAGTGGCAGGAATTCGACGAAAAAGTAGTAGAAAAATAACTATCCATACGTTGTAAAGCAGTTAGATGAATGACAAATACCTCATCATTACCATCATCACCATCGTATGGTCGTCAGTCTTAAGACTAACTGGACACGCACTTACACACATAATAATAATTTCTTTGCAAGAATATCCCTTTTAAATTCTAACATTCTAGGAAGTATTAGTTAAGTTAATTTGAAAAGAAAAATCGAAAAGAACGATTGCAATAAATCCCATACGTGAAAAACAATTCCAGTGTACATTGAGAGGGTGCAACGTTAAAAATGTAATCAATAGTTTTGTCAAAACAAATAATAGATGGTGTACGGAAACCATTTAAGGCCAATTTCGGAAACTGGTTGGTGAGAAGAACATTAAAACTACAGAAGCGGAAACAAACTTTGAAAACTCCATCAGTTTATTACATTTTTCTCAGGCGATAATATTTTAGGAAAAACCTTCAGTATTTAGTCGTTACAATTTTATGTGGAATATTCCATGCAGGATACGAAGATTCAAGTTTAAATGCCTTCTGACTGAATTAGGAATCGTAATTTCCAAGAAATTTGCACTCTAGTATTACAATGACCGGATTATTTTTTAAAATTTTTGCGTACAAATAAGGAAGAAAGTCCGGGTACGTTCGTTTGATTTTCAGGTTTTTCAGCTTCATCAATCGGTCGAGAAATGTTAAAAATTATATGTGAAACCCGAAGAAAACTTGTCAGAAAACAGTATATAAGTAGCGAGTGTTATGAAAGCGAAAAATAAAATTCCATAAGTTTTTGAAATGAAGATAAGAATGTATAAGTCATATTGTATTCAAATGGTGCAGAGAATTGAAAAGTATTAGTCAAAAATTCCAGAAAATGGTTCTTCTCGTCTTTACTTTTAGGCCATTTTAAATATATATCTATTAAACAGTTTCCCAATGAAATAAATTAATAATGTTAAAATAAATAATGGATGGAGTACGGAATCCATTTAAGACCAATTTCGGGAACTGGTTGCCGAGAAGAGGACGAGATATGAACATTAGAACTACAGAAGCGGAAACAATTTTTAAATTTTTCTCAGGCGATAACATTTTAGGAAAATCCTTCAGTATATTCATACATATTTAGTCGTTACAATTTTATGTGGATTATTCCAAGCAGGAAATGAAGATTCAAGTTTAAATGTCTACTAACTGAATTTGGAATCGTAGTTTTTAATAAATTTGGTATTCTACCATTATGATGACCGAAATTATTTTTTAAAATTTTTGCGCATAAACAAGAAAGGAAGTCCGGGTACGTTCGTTTGATTTTCAGGTTTTTCAGCTTCATCAATCGGTCGAAAAATGTTAAAAATTATATATACAACCCGAAGGAATCTTTTCGAACAGTATAGATATAATTAGCGAGCATTATAAAAGCGGAAAATAAAATTCCATAAGTTCTTGAAATGAAGATAAGAATGTATAAGTCATGTTGTATTCAAATGGTGTACAGAAATTAGTCAAAAATTCCAGAAAATGGTTCTTCTCGTCTTTAGTTTTAAATATTTATAAACAGTTTCCCAATGAAATAAATTGATAATTAGTGAAGGCGTATCAAGAAATAATTGGTGAGATTATCCAACGAAAGTACGAATCTTTTACAGAAACAATTACATCAAAAAGAAAATCGTCGAAAGATAGGCCGACTTAAAGGGTAGGTGCTTTTTTGTTTTTCGGTTATTTGTAGGGTTTTCAAAAATTCGAGGCGGTTATTAGACGACTTAATTTAACGTAATATGCACATTGATACCCCATGGATTCACCATGAGAATTATGAATTGTCTGCTGATGGAATGTGAAGAAAATCATATTTAAGAAACCGATTCTACTATTAAGAAAGAAGATTTTTCCAAACAGGATGCGGTGACTTTCGTTTTGAACTGAGAAAAGCAAAATTTAATATTTCTACATTAGTTTTACGTATTATTTACTTAAATTGTCAAATTCTGTATTGATTGTTGTTGAAATCAAATATTAGTAGCTAACTGTCCAGTAATATATTTTAAAGAAAATTATTGTAAATGAAATACGAAAAGTTATGAAATGTCAAAAATAATTGAAATTAAAACTTCTGTAAAAACGAAGACATGGTCGCTCTACGCCACCATTCAAAATTCATCACATTGGAGGAAGGATAGTAATGGACAGTGACGGTTTAGGATTAGGGATGAACTTTTCAGGAAACGGTATCAAAATATACTAGATCCGAAGATGCAATTGCCACAGTTGGATAGAAAATAGTGAAAGAAATATTGTTAGAATTATGGTATAAGCGTAAGAATAGTAGAAAATCAGTTCAAGAACAAAAGAATGTGTAAGACAAATGTAGTGAAAGCGAACTGATATAATTTTGATGGTAAAAATAATCAATGGAATGAAAAACATCAACAATGAGCTAGAAACATCATGGAGTTAATAATATGAAAGAAGAAAATTTATTTATCAGTAAAACAGAAGCGCGTGTATTCAAAAATTGTGTAATTTTTTTGGAAAAGTATTTAGCAAAAGAAAAATCGTAATACCCCGTGTATTTTGGTAATAAACGAAGAGATGCCGCATATTTAATGGCTGGTAATGAGCGAGGAGATGCAAATTTAATAATCTAATAATCAATAACAGTAACATGTTAATACACATAATTTTATAGTAATAAAATTCGGGTTGTAATCAAATCTTTAAATCATCAGGATCACGGATGAAAGGTGAGCCCTTTTTAATGTTCTTAATTATTTAATCTAATTGAACTTCGATTTTTTCCAGATTGCTTGTCTGAATGTTTGAGTGAGATTGTTCCCACAACGTCTGTCTGTCTGTCTGTCCATTCATCTGCCCGTACGATGAGAGCGTCTGAAAAAAATCCCAATCGTTAAATAGTATTAAAAATCTGGTTTTGTGCGAAGACCGAAATGCTGTGACGACACCTTTGCTTCCATTGTACGTATACGAGGAGGGACTTCTTATCCTGTCATATGAAAAACGAACAGAAATCATCATTTTCCATCTCCCCCTGTGTATAACAATGGTCGAAATGGGAGAGATGACCCTCGCTTAGTACGTTGAAGCACTGGTTTTGGTTTCAGCATAATTTTTCCTCTTTGCGGCGTTTCGTAACATCCACAATACTTAACGTTAACGGAAAGGATTCATCCCATTAACGAATTTGAACCCTGAAAAAGACAACTTCATACACAAGAAGTTTCAATTGATCGATCCCTACTTTTTATGAAGCTTTTGCACCTATTTCTAACGATTTTATATCACCCACCTGGATAATAATATCATGGTTATTTTGAGTGAAGAAAACTTTTACTTTACCTTTTCCCCTTGTTAAATACCTTGGAATAAATATAAACAGTCTTTAATAAAGCGGTTTTTATTGCTATATTGTTTTATTTTTGTACTTATCCTTAAATGGTTAATTAAATTGAAGTTTTATTAAATAAAAAATGAAAGTGCTCTTCTCTTCGTTTACACAGTGATTTAATTAAAAAAAAATAGTGACAGTCAGCTCAAAAAAAATGATATCAAACATTGACCCTCTCCTACAATGCCCATTGGATAACTCCCCGTTGTTGCGCTCCTGGTGCTACTATAAAAATGACCACTGCCACACTAAAACAGTGGCTTGGCTTACAGATCATTGCTTAGCATTAGGGACGACATCCAAAAGTTTTTTTTGGTATCAAAACAAAAATAAATATCTACTACTTGATAATTCTTGTTATCTAATAGAAAACGAAAGATATTTATTGATCAAAAAGTAAGTTTCTTTTGACTGTCTTTGCAATTTATGTTATAGTTTTCATAGTAACGTATAATTTGATTTGAGATAATGTAATACTATTTTCTTCTCTGCTTCAAATTAACTCCACGACCCCTAACATCTAATGAAGTTAACAAGTACAATTTAGCAATATTTGGCTATTTATCAGAGCTAATATAGATAAGGATGAAATTTATTCGTTTATTTAATTTGTACCTATTTAATTGCAAGTTTAGTGTACATTTTCAGATAATTCGTGAAGTATTAGCATTATTTTTATTTATTATAACATTATCTTTAAACAATTGCATGCAGTTACTGAACATCTTTGTCCATGAGCTTTGAGTACCGTGATTTAAATAATTAAATATTCGTATCAAGTTTAAGTAAACAAAACATTCAAACGTGATTTGTTTGTCAATTTTTACGGCAGGTAGGTACAACTAAATGTTCAGTTTTCCAAGCTTTTCTAGCTGAAAGCTCTCTGCGTTTCAATCCGTACGCTATAGATGACGCTAAGATGCTGAATACCAGAAAAATTTTAGTTTAGTCAGACTTTATGAACACACAATATTAAGTCAACACAACTAGGAAAATGAATAATCGTGATAGTCAGTTAAAATCTAATTGTAAGTTTAGTGTCTCTTTTCATATGATTCATGAAATAGCTACTACCACTATTATTTTTATTTATTATTACCTTATTCTTAAGTATTAAAATTTACCACAACCAGTTCCTGATTTAAATAATTAAATAAATATTTATATTAAGTAAACAAAACATTCAAAAGTGATTTGTTCCTAGAAAGAGTTTCTCTCAATTTTCATGAAAGGTAGCTACAACTAAATGTTCAGTTTTCCAAGTTTTCCAGCTAAAAGCTTTCTGCGTTTCAATCCGTTACGCTGCAGATGGCGCTAAGATCATGAGTACCAACTAAATTTATGGCATAGTCACATTTTATGAACACACAAACAATTTTGTAATCTAAGAATACGTTATTGAACTGAAATCCCTGATGATTTTTTTCCTGCCTCTTTGTTAAATCAACACAATAAAGAAAACGAATAATCCTTTCACATTATGCATGCTTAAATAACTAACGACAAAAAAAAGGTTGTTTACACTTTACTGGAGCTATAAATCACAACGTACCAACGAACGTTTAAAAAATTTAATAAAAACTTGTTTATTCGTAATCGACGCCAGATTATTATCTTCTAAGAAAAGTTTGTGTAAAGAACAGACTTATTAAAAGTGAAATAATAAGACGGTGCATGTTTTGTAAGAAATATTGCTTTTGTTGACTTTCTAATATAATTTAAATTGCAATATTTATTTACGCTATTAATTTAATTACGTTGAATTTTGTTATAAATAATTTTCTTTCAAAGCGGATGAATTTAGAATCTTGTAGGTAAGTGTTTAAACCATTAAATATAAAAATACCCCACAATAATGATAACAAAAAATTAACAGTAGTTTGATTAGGAAGTAAGAAAAATACAACAGGTAGGTAGATATTTGATAAAAAAATTTGGGATAAGATTTAAATGTATCATCCATGTAAATTATTGCTCATACGATATCAGTTGGAATTTACGTACCTTTAGAAGGTGATTAGTGTATTTTGGACGGATTTTACACCAACCTGTATCTAGTATGGTTAGATTTGCAGATGATGTAGCAGTATTAGCATCTAGCAAGGAGGACCTAGAGTACTGTATGAAAATAAATAAAAATTAAACTAAAATGCTGGTATACAAGGGAAGAAAAAGTAGGGAAAGAGCGAATATAAAGATAGGAAACGAAAAATTAGAAGAAGTGGCTGATGTTAGATATCTAGGAAGTCAGATAAGTCAGGACGAAAGGAGTAGTAGGGATATAAAGCAGAGGATAGCGCAGGGTCGTGTCACCTTTAATAAAAAGAAGTCACTTCTATGCTCGCGAACGGTTAATTCAGAAATTCGAAAAGGATTGTTAAAGGTGTATGTTTGGAGCGCGGTGTTGTACGGGTGCGAAACATGGACGGTGGGCGCGGCGGAAAAGAAAAATTTAGAAACGTTCGAAATGTGGTGTTAGAAATGAAGAGGTATTGGAAAGAATAGGAGAACAGAGGACTCTATGGAAGTGAACAGGTTGATAGGACACCTTCTCAGGCTTGAAGGTCTAGTCAGAGACATATTAGAGGCAGAAACAGGAGTTAGGAGGGGTAGAGGTAGTCCTAGATTAGATTACTGTTCGCAAATAGTTTTAGAGAAATGCTAAGTTTAGCTCAGGATAGGAAAGAGTGGAGGTACGTGTCCAACCAGTCTTAGGACTGACTACCTTATGATGATGATGTAATAACTTCAATCCTTTTTTATACCTATATGTACTATTACCACCTAAGCCCCTCATATCAAAATATAAATATACGTTGTATATCTATCTTTAGTATTTTTGTCGAGATAGGTTTAGACGAACATTACATTTTCACCAATGCGCATATTAGGTAGATCTGACAGTAGCAATTACTAGCGTCAATTAAACTGATATGATAGAACTCTAGGTACTTAATATGTGCCTGTTAGTAAAGGTGTGAGGAAGGTACGTAGTATCCTTAATTTACGAATCTAATTGGGCAAACTCTAATAGATACCGACGTTAATTACGTTTACTTTGTGTAAGATATCACGTGAATACAGATATCTCGTGTAAGTTAATGTGAATAGGTAAATTTATGTAACATGAACATCTTAATGCTCATTTAGGTTTAACTATTGCAATTATTTGTATATGTACGTGTTGGTGTTTGTTCTCCTGTTTAAATCCAAGCGAAGGAGCTAATAAACTATACAACGATTCTATTCAATTACAAATACTGTTTCACTAAACGTAAAAAAAATTATCTATCTTTAATTAAGTATACAGGTGATCAAAAAGGCTGCAAAAAAACGGTCATACGACTTTCTAGAAAATACTCCTACCGATCTACAACCAGTTAAAATTTTTGCTTACTTAATTCAGATACGTTGGTATCAGCGATCCCTTCAAAGAATTCCCTTTTTCAAGAGTACTATTGTAGTGGCTTGAAAATAACAAAAAATGATGGCTGCGTAATCATTTTCACTGTATTTTTCAATGGTATGCATGAATGTGCTCAAATCATGTCCTGGTACATGAAAATTTCCACAAAACTTACTTTATTGTTTCGGAGATATGACGTAATAGTGTGATTAGGCTATCTTAAAATCCTTCGCCAAATCGGGTGCGCACTGTCCGGGGTAGTAGCCAGATTGTTTTGGCATGAGCTGAGGGTAGTTTTGAAGCCCTTCATAAAACATGACGCCTTGAGTTCTTTAATCTCAGATAATTTTACAGAACTCAAAATTCAATGAATTGAATTGAATGACAATATTAGGAATATCCTGGATCGCATGTTTATTCGTTCCTTGGTGCCTATGCTATATTGAAGGTGAGCTAGCACATTGGCCAAAACTTTCAATATTTCAGTGCCTGAGTCTCTGTCGAAAACAAGTAAAAAAAAAGTTCAAATTTTGTTTTCTTTATTACTGATAAAATTCTGTGGTATATATTTGATATAAGAACATTATGACGTTGACGGCATGTAGGTATATAAGTTGCAGAATAAAAACCGTCTTCCGACCGATATCCTTCACTGGTCCTAATTCGAACCATATCTAATACCGTGGCATAGCAACGGAGAAATCCAGGCTGCAATTTTCAAACCTTCTGAACTTCTTAAATTGATTTAAACTTTATTTCTAAACGGGAAATTCTTTGCTGCAGTGGTAAGATGAAAACAAGGAAACGGCTGGAATAAAGTTATTTGAAGCCCGAGAAGTAAATTGCTTGTTTCGAGCTCGGTTTGGATATAAAACAAGAATTTATATTGGGAATACGACTCAAATTTCTTTTTAGTTTTATTGTTAGCAATCATACCGAAAAATTGAGGCAAATTGTTCATTAGCGGCCTGTAATATCCCGCCATTCTTTAAATTGACTTTTCTCAGTTATAAAATTGAAATTTAATCGCCGAATTAAAAACTAATAAACGCTTTTACAATCTTAGTTTTCTATTTGACAATAATTACTGCTAACCTTATGTTAAATGATCTAAACTAATACAAACTGTTATAACGATTAATTATTTACCAAAACTATCTTTGTCGATCGTAAAATTTAGTGGAATAAATTGGACTAAATCAATTTAAATGGTACAAACTTTGATATGTCTTTTCAGAGTCTTTCAGCGTCTCTGAAGCGTCTCTTACAGTCTTTCACAGTCTCTCAATTATTGCCTAGGTGTTTTTATGGATCTCTCACAGTCTCTGTATGAAAGACATGAACGATAAAATTGTCAATTCAGAGATTCGAGTCTCTCACAAAGAGACTGAATGAATAAAAATGAAAAATTGAGAGACTCCAGTCTCTCGTAGAAAAACTGGGATCTCTGAAATATGTTGAACTTAGAAAAAGTTAACCATGTCTATCGAGACACCACTTATTGAGAAATTCGAGTCCCTCGTTCAGAGATTCGAGTCTCTCGTTCAGAGATTCGAGTCTCTCGTTCAGAGGTTCGAGTCTCTCGTTCAGAGACGCAAAACAGTTTTTTTGA